TGCAGAGGGCCTACGTAGGGGCGATGGGGGACTGAGGTGCTAGAGATTCTGGAAGTTTAGGGTTTAAGGGTTTAGAGTTTAGGGTTTAGGGTTTTTAGGGTTTAGGGTTTTAGGGTTTAGGGTTTAGGGCTCAGTGAGTCTTAAAGGGGGGTGTGGAGCTTGAAGGGTTTTGACATAGGGCTTAGGGGTTTAGGTGGGTCCGGGCTTGCATGGAAGGTGCAACGTCGAGGGCCTATAGCTTTTGTTTCTACGGGTGATGTTTAATCTACAGGGCTCCTAGCACCGTAATCGTGGCTTACTAATCAAGCGTCTAGAGTCTCCGACCCCCAATAAAACTCCACAGCAGACCCTTTTAAGGCTTGCATCAAAGCACATCAGTAAATATTACGGCTGAGCCCTGAAGAACCACCCAAAACTCTACGAAAAGTCGTCTAAAGCCCGGTTGAAGATGATTCCAAACTTCGCACGGCGGATGTCCCTAGTCCCCCTGAAAAAGCCTAGACCACCAACCCCCTCGTCACCACAAAACCCAGTCTAGTTCTTTCGGTCTCGAGGGTTTTAGAGCCTACAGGGGGTGGTCACGCTGGGGGGTTGAAAATAAAAGCTTTCGGGCTTGGTTGCTTCGGGTTGGTGGGGGTCAGACGCGCAGGTTCAGGAGTAAGGCCGCACCTGCGACGCTGATCGAGGGACTTAGTGGCGAACTCTACAGATACCCACGAAACCCCAAAACAGGGTATGATAGTATGCCAGAGCCCTAAACCCTAAACCCCTAAACCCTAAACCCCTAAACCCCTAAACCCTTAAACCCTAAATTTCCAGAGCTTGAGGATGGCGGAGCGCAGCATCTGGGCTCTGCCGTGGCCGGGGCCTCAGCCCACCAGCTCATGTGAGGGTCATGCTTAATGTAGGGGCCTGAATAATTAATTACCGACATTATTTTGGGGGGATCCTTAGTAAATTTATAGTATAATGGACCCCAAAACCCTGTTCCAATCATGAAGGTCCCTATATTACCCGAAACCCGTGTAGGCCCGCACGAAACGCATGTTTCAAGGCTGCCATTGCTTCGTTATCTTGTTTCAGCAGTCATGGTCACTATTGGCTGGAATGCTTGCTGACATTGTTGTCATGATTTTTATTGCTTTTTGCATCACTTGCCTTGCATCGCGGTTGTCATTAGTGGTGTTGGTGTTGAGTTCGATGAACTCCTCATTGAGCTACATCTTTTCTGGACAACTATTGGCAGTGCGGTCCCACTCGAAATACAGTGCAGATCTTATCATCAATGGATATGCTAAATTGTCCCAGAGCTTGTCTGTGTTTTCTGCTAGATACTTGACAAGCCCCTTTGCTTGGCTGCATTCCAGAGATACGTGCCCATCGGTTCCCAGGGTCAGTCGGGTCTTTGTCTCAGACTCTGAACAAGCCGAGCTTCACTATGTCACAGATGTGGGAATGCTGACGTCGCCCCTGTTTTTGTCCACAGATTGTAGAGAGCAGGTCTGATTATTGCACACGCTAGCAATATACTGTAGCAACAGTAAGTGCTCTTTTCCCTGGGATCACGTTACGCCTTCAGACTATATCGGTACGCGGAGACCGTGAATCCTTACAGCAAACCCTATCAAGCCACAAGAAGCTTTCAGAGAACCTTAAGTAGCGCCCTGCATCCATCGCTGCCGCCATGGCTCCAAAGCCTGTGCCTCTGGTCACCCACGACCTAACCCCAAGCTCCTTGCCTTTGCAGGTTTAGGGTTTAGGGTTTAGGGGTTAAGGGTTTGAGATCATCGGGATCCTAAACCCAAACCCCCAAAGGCCCCAGAAGCCCTGACGAAATCGCATCAGGCCTATAAAGCCTAAATGCTTAAATGTGCCCAAACCTGCGGTGCAGGGTTGATCATGCCTGACGCAACAAAAACGCTGAAAATCTAATCCGACGGCTTCCCGTTGGTGTGATGAGTCATGACTGTCAGCGTGAAAATTCAAGTTCCTTTTGGGGGGGCTTGGGTGTTTATGTCAAAGGATCCAGCTCATAGGAAGTGAAATAGGAGTCTGTGAAGGCCCCAGTGTACAGCAGCTAGACATCTGCTTAGTTGTACACTGTGCTTGTATGTTTACACACATGCACAGTTTATATACACCTTTTTACATATATGAAGATGTGCACACACACACACACATATATATATATATATATATATATATACTGTTATGAAGGGATTGTAAGCGAGGGCATGTCAGAAACCGGAGAACTGTGTTGACGACTTTCCCCC